CGTGTAGTGTGTTGTTGTTTCTGTAGACCTTGGAATTTCAGCCGCTTTGCTTTTTCAACCAAAAAATAGAACCAGAGAATGTGATTCTCCTGTTCTCCCCGCGAATGTGAAATCACCAGCCAAAATACAGAATAATTTGGAGGATTCAAACTATTATAATTTGAATTATTTTTTATTTATGTGTATTTTTTATGAGAGAAAATATTATAATAAATCACGAATCATGATTTGAATCAGGAAACAAATCCTTCTACCAAACGCTTACAAACATACCATTTTCCCCAAAACTTCCCTTTTTTTTTGCGCATTTAGGGGAAGATTAAATTAATGGCATCTTTATTTATCTGTAATCAGAGTGGACATGAATTGAAATAGACAGAATTCAGAGTGGACAAAAATCAGAGTCAGAATAAACTGTTTACTTAGGTTTTGAAGAATCAAGTCGGAATCAATTCCTATCTCATTCATGCATTTACTTACACCCAAAATCAGAATAAACTATTATAAATTTACTTACATACCCTTTTAATAGATTTTTGTGTGTTGAATTTTAAAAAAAAATTTAGATTATGCTAACTATCTTAATATTAGAATAACTAATTAGTAATTAAATTTTTTAACTAAATTTTCTTAACGTTTTGATAGCATGTTTATATCGCGTGCTATAAAATTTAGTATAGATATACACAAATTTAATCATTAAAGAATTATTACAACGATTAAAAATAATAATTCCTATCAATACTTTGTCCAAAATAAAATTTTCTTTAGAATTAAAAAATAATCATTTAGTTGAATTGTTAGATGAAAAAAATGAATAATAAATTTCTACCGGTATTACATAATTCTTGATCACCGGATTTTTATAGAATTAAGTCATATTTGCATTTTTTTTATTATGATTTTTTTTTAATTTGATGCTCAATTTTTCGTAATATTGATACCAATTTGTTACCCATGTCCTTTTTAAATGAATGGTTGTTGTGAAAAAATCATAGGCAAGTTAGGAGGCGTTTAGTTAATAGATTAGAACTATGTGATTATAATTATTTTTAATTTACATATATTTTTTATAAAAAAAAATACTGTAATAAATTACGAATCATAATTCGAATCAGGTTGCAGTTTGATATGTCTGGAAGCATGTATCATGTGAAACTTGTGACTGGAGGAGGCAGGATTGTAATTTGGAAGTTCTTTTGAGGTTAGTAATGAGTAAGCAAACAGAAATTAAAAAAAAAAAAAAAACAACAAAAATGTGTACTTTGTCGAATTCAATAATAATAAAAGGGCACGGCCAATTTCTTCTTTTCCCAGGTCAGATCTCCACTTTTCTTTCACCACCAAAAATATAATAATAATAAAAGGGTGTCAGGTACTTGACAACTATGAATAGTACATTTAGTTCATGAAACGACACCGTATCACAAACGTATGAAATTTTTTTCCTTTTGGGACAAAGGTATATATTCATGATAAGTTCATCCCACCAAAACAACAAATAAAGAAATAATTAATTATACAATGAACCAATGAATTACGACTTACTCATTCCATCCATAAAATTTATTCAGTCAAAGTAACCGAAATAACTTAGTGAAAACTACGAGGAACAAGTGACACGTGGCGATCTGTTTGTGCTAAGTTTCAAATGGATCTAATGGTTTATTAAGCACTAAATCACGAGAATTTATTCAGTGCATAAATACATTTATTTCGTACTTTTTATAAATTTTTATGTGTAATTATTTGATTAAAAATATTATAAATTAAGAGTAAAAAATAAAAATTTTAATTCATACATTTTTAAGAAGTATTTATCAAGATTACTCACTATCACTAATAAAAAATAAGTTTAATTTGTGAGTCTCACACTGCGGGACTTACTTTCTATTAATAAATAAAGAATAGTATTAAGCACGAAAAATTGGATCTAATGGTGTATTAAGCACCACATCACGAAAAATTAGAGAATTTACTCATAAAAATGCATAAGTCTAAACATTTATCTCTATTTTTTATAAATATTTTTTTATTAGTGTAATTATTTAACTAAAAATGTTATAAATTAAGAATAAAAAATAAAAATTTTAACTCGTACACTTTTAAAAAGTATATATCAAAATTACTCACAATTATTAAAAAAAGGTAAGTCTAATTTGTGAGTGGGGACTTACTTTCTATTAATAAATAGAGAATATTATTTAACAGATGCTTTATTATAATTTTCTTCTTTAAAGTATCACAAAACAAGAATTTTGATTGTTGGTCCATTGTGTAATAGTTAGTCCGGATGCTACCTAATTCTTTTTTATTTTACCTTACCTGTCATCCACTAAGCACCATATGATGTTTTCCAAATTTTGTAATTAAAAAACACATTTGAAAAAAAAAAATTTACTAAATTTGGTTGGATACACAATATAATGCGCTTGGTTGGGACCTATAAGAGCTCGAATGACTACCCTTTAATATTAAATACCTTTTAAAATATATGAGTCTAAATTTTTATCTCTTACTCTTTATTAATATCATTTCTAATCAAATAGTTATATTAGTTAAAGGACATTGATCAAGAGTGAGTAGTAAAATTCTAAACTCATGCACTCTAAAAGTAAGTTCAACAATTTTCTCAATATATTTTGAGCACTTCTCCTGATTTGCCCTAACCCACTAGACACAAACTGGAAAGGTCTATGTTGTCCCTACTGATTTGTGTAAACTGAGGGATATTTAAAAAACAACTGCCTTATTCATTTTTATGACTCAAGTCATATTGCTACAAAGTTTTCTCTCACAAAAATTCAAATTTAACTTTTTTGTTATAATATTTTTCTCTCACATACATTACTCAAGTCATGACTCGAGTTGTGCAAATGAACATACCCTAAAATACGCCCATCCCCATCTCTACACAGAGGACCTTTTAGTATATATCATTAGTACCATCACTCAGCCTCGCAACGACGACGCTCGTCGCAATCAACCAGACTGCTTCAATTTGCGAGACAAAACACCAACAAACTCATATATAGTGGCAGTAATCAAGAGTGGATCTCTAATCTCTTCCAATTTATAATGACCGAGAAAATTTCATAATTAAATAATATAATTTATGCATTAAGCAAGGATTTTCCTGGAGAATATCATAATATATTTTGTGACTGAAGAATTTATGAAATTAATATTAGTATTCCTAAATTCTATGACAAATTTTATGTTAAGTACATGTTTTATGAGCAAGTAAATTCGGTCGATAAATTCTCACCGTGATTTAAGACAGAAGAACTTTCTATCCATATACAATTTGAGAATCTTAATTTCAAGAATCTCCAAGTACAGTATGATGTTAGCAGCGTACTGAGAGACGCTCTGACATTCAAAGAGAAATCCTTAATTATTGAACATATAAGTTGAAGTCATGAGGGTAATGTTTTAGTAGAGCGAGATACTACATGAGCTCGGGAGTGATGCCGTCGGTAACGTTGTCATTCCTAAGATATAATGCAGAAAAAGTTAAGTTTAGAATTTATATAGTCTAAAAATGATTTCAAGACTAAGCCAATCCGAAATATTACGCGATTAAGAGTTTAATTCGATATTGAATTATTCAGAGAATTAGTATCGGACTATAAATAAATAGTAGAAAATGAACTGTCAAAAACCAAAACTTCCTGTCAGCTAAGTTAATCCCCTACAGTCAGTCTAAACTTTGACTGTTTGAAATGGAATCTTAAGGAATAAGATCAAAGTACAAGACAAGATGTGATGAGATGTGAATTTATGGAGATTAGACATGAGTTGATAGTAATTTGATGGAGTCCTTATGAGATTTTTTTCTCCACTTATGGACGGCCATGTATGGGGAAATTAATTAAAAAATTTTGCTAATTAAGCTAACTTGATAGGCTTAATAAAGAGCTAAGATGAGATTAAGTAAAAGTCTATAAATATTAGTTCATTGGTGCAAGCATTAATTTGGCCTATTTTGCACATTTCCTCTCCTTTCCCTA